TACTCTATGACATTTCTATAGATCATTTGTACATCAAAATACAGAACAATAATAACCATAAGCATAACAATGCTACAACAACTACTAAATAGTGACACATTCAAGTTAGTATGCTTTATTTTTAATGAAAGAATGTCAAAAAACACAAGAATAAAGCGCTTAGGCATATTTTATTTACCTTGGAGCATTACACATTTAAACAGTTAGTTTATTGAGTAATAATTAACCAATAACAATAAAGCGTCTTTAGCTGGATTCGAACCCCGTCTTGGTGAGCACCTGCAATAGAAATCAATGTAACTCAAATTGCGTTGTTTTAACACAGAACAGTATCACTATGCGTGACGTAAAGCAGGTGCAGGGAAGGCGTGTCCGGGAAGCTTAGAATTCACCCTTTCCTTTCTTCGTTTCTTCCCCCTCTTCTTCCCTTTTTGTCTTTCTTTCTTCCCCCCTTTCTTCCCTTCTTCCCCTTCTTTGTTGGACGATTGTTCCCCAGCTTGAACGCAGCGCCTTAGACCGCTCGGCCATTCTGACATGCTTGCCTGACTTAAGCTGTCTCCTGGGAACCACTCCGCAGCACCGTGACATGGAAGCTGGTGTTTCCCAGTTTGCCCAGGTCCAACAGTCTGCCTCGTTGGCGCAGTAGGCAGCGCGTCAGTCTCATAATCTGAAGGTCGTGAGTTCGAGCCTCACATGGGGCAAGGTGCTACTTTTTGGCACTTGGAAGCGCTTAGATGACTGGCCAGCATTTTTTATTCCCTTCTGTGTGGATCATGCTTCCCCGGGGCAAAAAAAGCTACAGCTCCTCTGGAGGCCAGGTGGTGTGAAGTTCCAACAACATTTCCTGAGTCTGAAGCAATGATGGTAAGATGCTCCCATTCCTATCACGGTGTCGCTTGACGTTCGGCGTGGATCTGTCAAATGTCATGAATTAACGTTGTGCGAGGATTTGACGAAAAGTCCTGCGAATCCCATTGCCTTAAAAATCAACGACATCCCAGGACATTCCACTACATGGCATTCCAAGACAGTACTTTTGATCCCCTTTTGGTTCACTTGCATTAAAGCCCTTGTCCATTGTTTTGTTCACATGCTTTTCCGAACTTTCGTGGACAATACCTTGATCGCAAACGCCTTAATACCTACAGTCTAAAGAGCCTATTAAGGTTGCCAGGGACACTGCTACGCTGCATAAACTTTGGCACAACGAGATTGATGCGGTGCTTTGTCAGTGTTACTGTATCACTCGGACATGGTGCCAGAGAGTTAAAGACTTGAGCCTGAACGCGTAGCCAAATATAAGGTTTGTCAGAAATGGGATTCGAACCCACGCCTCCAGAGCAGACGGCAACCTGAACGCAGCGCCTTAGACCGCTCGGCCATCCTGACATGCTTGCCTGACTTAAGCTGTCTCCTGGGAGCCACTCCGCAGCACAGTGACATGGAAGCTGGTGTTTCCCAGTTTGCCCAGGTCCAACAGTCTGCCTCGTTGGTGCAGTAGGCAGTGCGTCAGTCTCATAATCTGAAGGTCGTGAGTTCAAGCCTCACACGGGGCAAGGTGCTACATTTTGGCACTTGGAAGCGCTTAGATGACTGGCCAGCATTTTTTATTCCCTTCCGTGTGGATCATGCTTCCCCGGGGCAAAAAAAGCTACAGCTCCTCTGGAGGCCAGGTGGTGTGAAGTTCCAACAACATTTCCTGAGTCTGAAGCAATGATGGTAAGATGCTCCCATTCCTATCACGGTGTCGCTTGACGTTCGGCGTGGATCTGTCAAATGTCATGAATTAACGTTGTGCGAGGATTTGACGAAAAGTCCTGCGAATCCCATTGCCTTAAAAATCAACGGCATCCCAGGACATTCTACTACATGGCATTCCAAGACAGTACTTTTGATCCCCTTTTGGTTCACTTGCATTAAAGTCCTCGTCCATTGTTTTGTTCACATGCTTTTCCTAGTTTTTGTGGACAATACCTTGATTGCAAACGCCTTACAACCTACAGTCTAAAGAGTCTATTAAGGCTGCCAGGGACACTGCTACGCTGCATAAACTTTGGCACAACGAGATTGATGCGGTGCTTTGTCAGTTTTACTGTATCACTCGGACATGGTGCCAGAGAGTTAGACTTAAGCCTGAACGCGTAGCCAAAGATTAGGTTTGTCAGATGTGGGATTCAAACCCACGCCTCCAGAGGAGACTGCGACCTGAACGCAGCGCCTTAGACCGCTCGGCCATCCTGACATGCTTGCCTGATCCAAGCTGTCTCCTGGGAGCCACTCCGCAGCACCGTGACATGAAAGCTGGTGTTTCCCGGTTTGCACAGATCCAACATTCTGCCTCGTTGGCGCAGTAGGCAGCGCGTCAGTCTCATAATCTGAAGGTTGTGAGTTTGAGCCTCACACGGGGCAAGGTGCTACCTTTTGGCACTTGGAAGCGCTTAGATGACTGGTCAGCATTTTTTATTTCCTTCCGTGTGGATCATGCTTCCCCGGGGCAAAAAAAGCTACAGCTCCTCTGGGGGCCAGGTGGTGTGAAGTTCCAAGAACATTTCCTGAGTCTGAAGCAATGATGGTAAGATGCTCCCATTCCTATCACGGTGTCGCTTGACGTTCGGCGTGGATCTGTCAAATGTCATGAATTAACGTTGTGCGAGGATTTGACGAAAAGTCCTGCGAATCCCATTGCCTTAAAAATCAACGGCATGCCAGGACATTCCACTACATGGCATTCCAAGACAGTACTTTTGATCCCCTTTTGGTTCACTTGCATTAAAGCCCTCGTCCATTGTTTTGTTCACATGCTTTTCCGAGTTTTTGTGGACAATACCTTGATTGCAAATGCCTTAAAACCTACAGTCTAAAGAGCCCATTAAGGCTGCCAGGGACACTGCTACGCTGCATAAACTTTGGCACAACGAGATTGATGCGGTGCTTTGTCAGTTTTACTGTATCACTCGGACATGGTGCCAGAGAGTTAGACTTGAGCCTGAACGCGTAGCCAAAGATTAGGTTTGTCAGATGTGGGATTTAAACCCACACCTCCAGAGGAGACTGCGACCTGAACGCAGCGCCTTAGACCGCTCGGCCATCCTGACATGCTTGCCTGACCTAAGCTGTCTCCTGGGAGCCACTCCGCAGCACCGTGACATGGAAGCTGGTGTTTCCCGGTTTGCACAGGTCCAACAGTCTGCCTCGTTGGCGCAGTAGGCAGTGCGCCAGTCTCATAATCTGAAGGTCGTGAGTTCGAGCCTCACACAGGGCAAGGTGCTACCTTTTGGCACTTGGAAGCGCTTAGATGACTGGCCAGCATTTTTTATTCCCTTCCGTGTGGATCATGCTTCCCCGGGGCAAAAAAAGCTACAGCTCCTCTGGAGGCCAGGTGGTGTGAAGTTCCAAGAACATTTCCTGAGTCTGAAGCAATGATGGTAAGATGCTCCCATTCCTATAACGGTGTCGCTTGACGTTCGGCGTGGATCTGTCAAATGTCATGAATTAACGTTGTGCGAGGATTTGACGAAAAGTCCTGCGAATCCCATTGCCTTAAAAATCAACGGCATCCCAGGACATTCCACTACATGGCATTCCAAGACAGTACTTTTGATCCCCTTTTGGTTCACTTGCATTAAAGCCCTCGTCCATTGTTTTGTTCACATGCTTTTCCGAGTTTTTGTGGACAATACCTTGATTGCAAATGCCTTAAAACCTACAGTCTAAAGAGCCTATTACGGCTGCCAGGGACATTGCTACGTGGATCTGTCAAATGTCATGAATTAACGTTGTGCGAGGATTTGACGAAAAGTCCTGCGAATCCCATTGCTTTAAAAATCAACGGCATCCCAGGACATTCCACTACATGGCATTCCAAGACAGTACTTTTGATCCCCTTTTGGTTCTCTTGGATTAAAGCCCTCGTCCATTGTTTTGTTCACATGCTTTTCCGAGTTTTTGTGGACAATACCTTGATTGCAAACGCCTTAAAACATACTGTCTAAAGAGCCCATTAAGGCTGCCATGGACACTGCTACGCTGCATAAATTTTGGCACAACGAGATTGATGCGGTGCTTTGTCAGTGTTACTGTATCACTCGGACATGGTGCCAGAGAGTTAAAGACTTGAGCCTGAACGTGTAGCCAAAGATTAGGTTTGTCAGAAGTGGGATTCGAACCCACGCCTCCAGAGGAGACTGCGACCTGAACGCAGCGCCTTAGACCGCTCGGCCATCCTGACATGCTTGCCTGACCTAAGCTGTCTCCTGGGAGCCACTCCGCAGCACCGTGACATGGAAGCTGGTGTTTCCCAGTTTGCCCAGGTCCAACAGTCTGCCTCGTTGGCGCAGTAGGCAGCGTGTCAGTCTCATAATCTGAAGGTCGTGTGTTCGAGCCTCACACGGGGCAAGGTGCTACCTTTTGGCACTTGGAAGCGCTTAGATGACTGGCCAGCATTTTTTATTCCTTTCCGTGTGGATAATGCTTCCCCGGGGCAAAAAAAGCTACAGCTCCTCTGGAGGCCAGGTGGTGTGAAGTTCCAAGAACATTTCCTGAGTCTGAAGCAATGATGGTAAGATGCTCCCATTCCTATCACGGTGTCGCTTGACGTTCGGCGTGGATCTGTCAAATGTCATGAATTAACGTTGTGCGAGGATTTGACGAAAAGTCCTGCGAATCCCATTGCCTTAAAAATCAACGGCATCCCAGGACATTCCACTACATGGCATTCCAAGACAGTACTTTTGATCCCCTTTTGGTTCACTTGCATTAAAGCCCTTGTCCATTGTTTTGTTCACATGCTTTTCCGAACATTCATGGACAATACTTTGATCGCAAACGCCTTAAAACCTACAGTCTAAAGGGCCTATTAAGGTTGCCAGGGACACTGCTACGCTGCATAAACTTTGGCACAACGAGATTGATGCGGTGCTTTGTCAGTTTTACTGTATCACTCGGACATGGTGCCAGAGAGTTAAAGACTTGAGCCTGAACGCGTAGCCAAAGGTTAGGTTTGTCAGATGTGGGATTCGAACCTACACCTCCAGAGGAAACTGCGACCTGAACGCAGCACCTTAGACCGCTCGGCCATCCTGACATGCTTGCCTGACCTAAGCTGTCTCCTGGGAGCCACTCCGCAGCACCGTGACATGGAAGCTGGTGTTTCCCAGTTTGCCCGGATCTAACAGTCTGCCTCGTTGGCGCAGTAGGCAGCGCGTCAGTCTCATAATCTGAAGGTTGAGAGTTCGACCCTCACACGGGGCAAGGTGCTGCATTTTGGCACTTGGAAGCGCTTAGATGACTGGCCAGCATTTTTTATTCCCTTCCGTGTGGATCATGCTTCCCCGGGGTAAAAAAAGCTACAGCTCCTCTGGAGGCCAGGTGGTGTGAAGTTCCAAGAACATTTCCTGAGTCTGAAGCAATGATGGTAAGATGCTCCCATTCCTATCACGGTGTCGCTTGACGTTCGGCGTGGATCTGTCAAATGTCATGAATTAACGTTGTGCAAGGATTTGACGAAAAGTCCTGCGAATCCCATTGCCTTAAAAATCAACGGCATCCCAGGACATTCCACTACATGGCATTCCAAGACAGTACTTTTGATCCCCTTTTGGTTCACTTGCATTAAAGCCCTCTTCTATTGTTTTGTTCACATGCTTTTCCGAGTTTTTGTTGACAATACCTTGATTGCAAATGCCTTAAAACCTACAGTCTAAAGAGCCCATTAAGGCTGCCAGGGACACTGCTACGCTGCGTAAGTACTTTTGATCCCCTTTTGGTTCACTTGCATTAAAGCCCTTGTCCATTGTTTTGTTCACATGCTTTTCCGAACATTCATGGACAATACTTTGATCGCAAACGCCTTAAAACCTACAGTCTAAAGAGCCTATTAAGGTTGCCAGGGACACTGCTACGCTGCATAAACTTTGGCACAACGAGATTGATGCGGTGCTTTGTCAGTGTTACTGTATCACTCGGACATCGTGCCAGAGAGTTAAAGACTTGAGCCTGAACGTGTAGCCAAAGATTAGGTTTGTCAGAAGTGGGATTGGACCCACACCTCCAGAGGAGACTACGACCTGAACGCAGCGCCTTAGACCGCTCGGCCATCCTGACATGCTTGCCTGACCTAAGCTGTCTCCTGGGAGCCACTCCGCAGCACCGTGACATGGAAGCTGGTGTTTCCCGGTTTGCACAGGTCCAACAGTCTGCCTCGTTGGCGCAGTAGGCAGTGCGTCAGTCTCATAATCTGAAGGTCGTGAGTTCGAGCCTCACACGGGGCAAGGTGCTACCTTTTGGCACTTGGAAGCGCTTAGATGACTGGCCAGCATTTTTTATTCCCTTCCGTGTGGATCATGCTTCCCCGGGGCAAAAAAAGCTACAGCTCCTCTGGAGGCCAGGTGGTGTGAAGTTCCAAGAACATTTCCTGAGTCTGAAGCAATGATGGTAAGATGCTCCCATTCCTATAACGGTGTCGCTTGACGTTCGGCGTGGATCTGTCAAATGTCATTAATTAACGTTGTGCGAGGATTTGACGAAAAGTCCTGCGAATCCCATTGCCTAAAAATCAACGGCATTCCAGGACATTCCACTACATGGCATTCCAAGACAGTACTTTTGATCCCCTTTTGGTTCACTTGCATTAAAGCCCTCTTCCATTGTTTTGTTCACATGCTTTTCCGAGTTTTTGTGGACAATACCTTGATTGCAAATGCCTTAAAACCTACAGTCTAAAGAGCCTATTACGGCTGCCAGGGACATTGCTACGTGGATCTGTCAAATGTCATGAATTAACGTTGTGCGAGGATTTGACGAAAAGTCCTGCGAATCCCATTGCTTTAAAAATCAACGGCATCCCAGGACATTCCACTACATGGCATTCCAAGACAGTACTTTTGATCCCTTTTGGTTCTGTTGCATTAAAGCCCTCGTCCATTGTTTTGTTCACATGCTTTTCCAAGTTTTTGTGGACAATACCTTGATTGCAAACGCCTTAAAACATACTGTCTAAAGAGCCCATTAAGGCTGCCATGGACACTGCTACGCTGCAAAATTTTTGGCACAACGAGATTGATGCGGTGCTTTGTCAGTTTTACTGTATCACTCGGACATGGTGCCAGAGAGTTAAAGACTTGAGCCTGAACGCGTAGCCAAAGGTTAGGTTTGTCAGATGTGGGATTCAAACCTACGCCTCCAGAGGAGACTGCGACTTGAACGCAGCGCCTTAGACCGCTCGGCCATCCTGACATGCTTGCCTGACCTAAGCTGTCTCCTGGGAACCACTCCGCAGCACCGTGACATGGAAGCTGGTGTTTCCCAGTTTGCCCAGGTCTAATAGTCTGCCTCGTTGGCGCAGTAGGCAGCGCATCAGTCTCATAATCTGAAAGTTGTGAGTTCGAGCCTCACACGGGGCAAGGTGCTACCTTTTAGCACTTGGAAGCGCTTAGATGACTGGCCAGCATTTTTTATTCCTTTCCGTGTGGATAATGCTTCCCCGGGGCAAAAAAAGCTACAGCTCCTCTGGAGGCCAGGTGGTGTGAAGTTCCAAGAACATTTCCTGAGTCTGAAGCAATGATGGTAAGATGCTCCCATTCCTATCACGGTGTCGCTTGACGTTCGGCGTGGATCTGTCAAATGTCATGAATTAACGTTGTGCGAGGATTTGACGAAAAGTCCTGCGAATCCCATTGCCTTAAAAATCAACGGCATCCCAGGACATTCCACTACATGGCATTCCAAGACAGTACTTTTGATCCCCTTTTGGTTCACTTGCATTAAAGTCCTCGTCCATTGTTTTGTTCACATGCTTTTCCGAGTTTTTGTGGACAATACCTTGATTGCAAACGCCTTAAAACCTACAGTCTAAAGAGCCCATTAAGGCTGCCAGGGACACTGCTACGCTGCATAAACTTTGGCACAACGAGATTGATGCGGTGCTTTGTCAGTGTTACTGTATCACTCGGACATCGTGCCAGAGAGTTAAAGACTTGAGCCTGAACGCGTAGCCAAAGATTAGGTTTGTCAGAAGTGGGATTCGAACCCACGCCTCCAGAGGAGACTGCGACCTGAACGCAGCGCCTTTTTTTTTTTTTTTTTCTTTATTAAAAAATACATCATCAACAATCATGACATTTATACATACAAATATTTAAAAGATAAAATATTTAAAAATCTCCAGGTAAGAAAACTTCAAAACCAGTCCAAGTTTGTACAATATATGGATTATTTTTTGTAATACATTTTTCAAAAATGTCCATCTTTTCATACATTTTGCAATAGTCATATATAACCATTATTTCCTCAGTCACAATCTGTTTGTACAACAAAACCAAAGGAATTTCTTTTTTCTTTTGTTTCATAATATTTCTTCTTTTCCATATTGTAAATCTTGCAAGAGTCAACATATAATTAAGAGCAAACTTATTTTTTGTTTTCCCATTAAAACCAAATAAAAACAGTGTATCCCATTCTTCTAAAATAATGTTTTCATCATACATAAAATTACACACCATTGTTTTCAACATCTTCATAAAATCACTCAACTTTTTACAATTTAAAAATAGGTGTAACACGCCTTCCTTTTTTCCAAAACACACTTTACACAAATCATCTTGTGATACCCCAATCTTTTTAAAGATGATCTCTGTCATTATGCAGTTGTGTCTTAACATAAAATCAAAGTTTTCCAATGCTGGACTTTTTAAAATTGATCTTACATTTTTCCATATATTTGAAGTATCAAAGTTTTCAAATAACTTTTCCCAAAATTCTCTTGATTTAGTTTTTTTAAACACAGTATTACACAAACATGTATAAAACATCTTGATAGGACAATCATTGATATTAATTTTATCTTCATCCATTTTTAAAAAAACTTTTATTTTTCTATTTTCAGTTTCTTTTTCATTCTCTTCAATAGTTTTGATCCAGTGATCTGATAATGCTAATTTTAACTTCTTGTATTGATCTTCAATTTTTTCTTTATCATCTACATCTTCTATTTCCTCCAGTGTATCTATTATTGCTTGAGTCGGTAAAAACCCAGGTTTTATTTCATATAAAATGTCTTTTACTTGTCTAAAACCCACTGCATACCAGTTCTCATAAAACATTTGCTTTTTGCTTTTATTGTTCTGATTTTAAAATAGGGGTTGCTGTAAATAAAGTTTTCTCCCTTCAATCTCAGTTTGTATATTATTATAAAAGCATTTCCATGTTCTCAACACCTCTTTATAAAACTCAGGAATATTTTCTATCATGCGGTCTTTAAATGCCATCCATAAGAAATCATCTCCTATTTGTCCACATTTATTAATAAAATAACTCATTATGCTTTTCCATGGAATATTGTCTTCATTTAAAAACTTTTTTAATGTTTTAATTCTCATGCTTTTCATTCTTATCCATGGATCTATGAGTCCTAGTCCTCCCTCATCCACCTTTCCAATGATAGTGTTTTATGCAATTTTAGATGGTTTATCATCCCATAAAAACTTTAAAATCATAGTTTTTATTTTCTTATACACCCACGTAGGTAGACTAACAACACTTAAAACATACCACATCTTAGATAGAAAAAGAGAATTTAATACCAGTACTTTTCCTTTTAAAAACAATACTCTCTGTTTCCAAAAACATAATCTTTTTTCCATTTTATTTATAAGTTCGTCCCAAATTATTTCTCTAGTTTTAATTTCATCATATTTCAGTGTAATGCCTAAGATCTTTATGTAATTTTTTTGTTCTTTATATTCCCAATTTCCTTGTGGAACGTCTACTTTTCCCATCTTCATATATTCAGTTTTTTCTTTATTTACTTTTGCTCCCGATCCTCGACAATATTTATCAAATATTTCCATAGCTTTTCCAACACTTTTCAAATCTTTTAAAAATAGAGTGGTATCATCAGCATACTAAAAAATCTTCTGTTCTGTTCTATTGATTTCTATTTTAAACCCTTTAATTTCCTTTTCTCCATTTATAGCTAAGCCTAATGGTTCAGCAACTAATGTGTATAATAACGCTGATAAAGGACATCCTTGTCTTATAGATCTAGAAATCTCAATGTAATCGGTTAAAAATCCATTTATTTTAAAA